AAAAAGAATCAGGATAATTTAAGTTTAAAAGCTGGCTAGAAACAAGCCAAGCTAATACCAGACACCCATAAGTAAGAATAAATCTCCATATATTTATTTGGAAGCTGGGTGGTAGGCCCCCAGAGTTTTTAAAAAAGAAAAAACCTACATATTTCTATATTCACATCCACATATGTATACAAATATTTAATTCTAGTATACCATCTGATGGGATCATATTCTAAGCAAGAATACCAAATCACAATATTTAGAACTTTGAAGTAATGAAAAGACAAGCCTCTAGTTTGGGTTTCCACAGTCTTATCAAATACTTTTCTAAAGATACATATTTTTTAAATTTTAATCTGAATTTTAAAAAACCCAAAATGTATTAATCACTCATCTAAGATATTAGATTTAAATTTGACAAAAAGATAATAATGGTTTACACTCCAAAGTCCTATTTATAGACTAATACAGATTTTCTAAAAGCATTTTAATCCTCCCATATTTATCCATATTAACAATAGATGGGATTGGATAACCAAGTGCTCCAACATAAACTAAAGTATAATGGTGCCCATGAAGCAGTAAATGAGATGAGACTTTACAGGTTAAGCAGTAAGATTAAAAGGAACAGCTTCGGGATCAAAACACCTACCATCACTTATCTGTTCATTGTTCTACTGACTGAGATACCCTCTGCAGAAAGTTTCCTAACTCAAAGCACCATTTACGGTAAAGTGGCATACACTAAGGAATACATGGCATGTTATACAGATTATGTTTACTGTGTAAAAATGACATTTGTAAAGTACTAAGCACAAGTCTGTCATGCTTATTTCCCCTGTAAGTAATTATTATTTGTGGACTTATTTCTTTAATGTTTTTACTGATGAATAATCTAGGTTTATACAAAAACAGCCATTTTAATTATTACAGTGCAGTGTTTTTACAGATAATCTCAGTATCATAAACCAGTACTTAACTCTTCCTCTGAGCAATATGCAGCCTAAGAGACAATAAAATACTGAACAGTACCCTTTTAAAGTTATGTAACCTGTCAGAAAGCTAACATTTGTTTTTACATATTAAGAGTAATGGTGTGGATTATTTTTAACAGGAAAAATATTTTCATCTTGATCATCAATAGCATTACGCTTCATGGCAACAGACTTATCAGCAACAAAACATCTGTTATGTAGGAAGTCTTGAGCATGTTTTTTCTTTAAAGTACAGTATTAAGGAATTTTTAATTAAGCAGTTTCAGTTAGGAAAAATTATAAAGAAAAGGAGAGGAAGATGTGCTGCTTTCAAAAGAACCTGAAAGGTGTCTCAATGACTCAAGCTTTCCTCTAGCAGAACGCCACAATAAGAAGGTCTGTCTTTACAGAGGTAGGGAGAAACCATTCATAGGCTGTTTGCTTAGAAACTTAAACTTCAGTTTTCCATTACCTCACTGACTCGTGTGTGTGTGTGTGTGTGTGTGTGTGTGTGTGTGTGTGTGTTTACCACATACAATGTTTTGAACTTTAACAAGTTTTATTTTCTTACCACTCTGAACACTGGAGGGAATAAATATTAAATTCTCTACTTTAAGGAATTACTTCACAAATAGCCCTGAACTATTTAATTGCAAGATGTTTAACATAGAACACTGAAACCCTTATAAGCTGGCTGCTTAGTTAATTCCTAGGCTCTCCTAGGTCCTTTTGCCTCCTCTGGCCTTTCATGCTCTAATTTAGAACTTTCAGCCCCAATTCCATACCGGGAAATAAATTCAATCTATTTTTAATCTACTTTACTATCTGTTCCTTAATAGTGGAAATGAATGCAAAGACTGAAACATAGATTTCAGACATTCAAAATATTATTGCTCCTCTAGTGAGTTTCCACTTAAGTCTAAAGTATATGCAGTAAATTCATACGGAAGTGGAAAAGACCCCAGAATGATCAAATTTTTAAAAAAAAAAAAAACAAAACTTGTATGATTCGCTTAATTCTTGCTTCCTGACTCATTATACAAAGCTGTATGAAACAGTATAGTAGCAGCTGGTATAAAGTAGACAATAGAATAAAACTGAGAATCCAAGAATAAACTCATACACTCATGGTCAAGTGATACCAGAAAAAGGTGTCACTAAAGCACAAGGAGGGAAGAAGACTCTTTTAAAAAAATGCTAGAACAAAATAAACATATACTTGCAAAGAAAGAAGCTACACCCTTTCTTTGAACATCCAGGATTAAGTTCAAATAGCTCACAGAAGGAACTAAAGCGCTTAAGCCATGATCTTATAGGAGTAAGTTAGATTACACACTCTTAGGAGTGGCATAGAAGTGGGGAAATGGACACAAAGATTTCATCAAAGTGAGAAACCGGACTACAAAAGATGCTGTTGATAAAATAAAAAGACAGTCTTTAGAATGAAAAAGCTATTTCCACACCATGTATCCGTGAGTCTACTTGTGCATTGTTGCAACAGCCTTAGGTGGCCAGGGAGCTCAATGGCAGGATGGCCTACAAGCAGACCTACTACTTGGGCAAGTACTTTGACAAGCTACCATGCTACTCAGAGAATTCTCCAAGAAAGTATCAAAAACTCATCTGAGATCTGAAGAGGAGTGGAGGAGCCTGGGTGTCCACAGTCTAGAACAGGTTCATTACATGACTCACGAACCACATATTCTTCTCTTTAGACAACTTCTCCAAAAAACAAACAAAAATGAAGTACCGAGGGATCACCTAATCTTTTTCAAATTTAATGTATATGAGCACATAAGGCAGTATTTAGTGAATACTTGAAAATGTACTTATTTATATATACCTGTACATGAGCTGTATTCTTCACAGCCAAGAGTTCCGTTAAAGGCAACTGCAAGTAGGTTATTTTAAGTTGTTAAACATAAATTTACTTGTCTTTTTTTCTTGATGTCTGTTTTACTTTACCTGTTGCTTTTATTAAATAAAGCATCCTTAAGAAAGAAAGGGAGAGAGGGAGGAAGGAAGAAGAAAGGGAGGAAAGAAGGAGAAATGGGCCAGAAATGGTAATGAATGCCTTTAATCTCAGCGCCTGGGAAGCAGAGGCAGGCAATCTGAACCAAGACCAACCTGCTCTATATAGTGAGTTCTAGGACATCCAGAGCTATGTGTGTCTCAAAAAACAAAAACAAAAAAGAAATGTGCACCCAGGACTGATAGAAATGACACACACCTGTATTTCCAGTGTTCGGTAGGCAGAGACAGGAGGATCAGAAAACCAGGAAACTGTCTTTAAAAAGTGAGCCCAAGAGGGGGTGGGGGTAATCCAGAATATAAAAAAGAATTCAATAATAGCAAAAAGTCAATAAAGATAATTCAATTTTAAAACTGGCACTAGGTTTACAGTTACCCAAAGGAAAATACTTTAAATGGGCAATAGGAACAAGAAAAAAGTTCAACATCATTAGCCACAGAAAAATGCAAATCAAAACCACAAAATGCTACTCCATGTCCACCATCATAATACTATACCACAAGAGATACCAAGTGTTGGTGAGCATATCTAGAGACGCTGTGGAGCATTTACACAATGCTGTTACCTCTCTGAGGAACAGGCTAGCAGTTGACCTAACTAGTAATAAGGTTAGTTCCTGCTTCTCGGCCCTTTGGCTAATCAAATGCAAATATAGTTAACAGTGTGGCCCTATAAATTCCATTCCCAAAAGAAAACATGCTCTGACTATCGTGTATAAAAGTGTCCATAGCAGTATTACTCATGATAAACAAAGGATAGTTAGGATGGGCACCAAACACGCGTCACCAATGAATGGGTAAGTAAAACGTGAACTGGAATATTATTTGACCATAAAAAGGAATTAAGTATTAACACTGCTATCTCGTGAATTACCTTGGAAAATATTAAGGTAAATGAAATAGCCTGTCATAAGAGTTCCATTTATATGCTGGGTCCGGAAAAGCCAGATCTGTAGAAGCAGAGATATCAGTTGCCCAGCGGCTGAGGCAAGGGGCAAACTGGGAGTGACTGCTGACCCGCACAGGATTCTTCCTGAGGTTATGAAATTGTTCTAAAACCGACTGTGGTGATGTCTGCACAAAACAATGAGGAACTCTTCACAGTATGCGCTGTACATGCATGCACTGTATACATGGAAAGGGAACCTCGGTTAAAAAACCGCTCTTTTAAAAACACCACGGCGGGCGTCCAGATGTTTGTGGGAAACGAGTAACCTTCGAAACAAGTCACTATGAAGTGATTGTATTATGGAGCAAGCCCGTGCTTGAGACAGAATTAAGGCTCTGAGGCAGCAGTGGCTGGAGTGACTGGAAGCTGACGCCTTTCGACACTTCTACACCTTACCAAAATGAAACCGCGGGATTTGCAAGTGTCGGGCCATAAAAGTTCGGCCAAGCTACCTGAGGAAACGCGTTACTTTTCCGGTACGGGGGGGGGGGGTCAAGCGTCCATGCCATTACCGGCACACAGCGACTGCACGCAAGCACACCGCGGGGCAGGCGAGAGGGGTGTGGGGAGAATGAGGAAGGTCCGAGCGAGGCGACTCGCACGGGCTTTGTGAGCAGGCCCGGAGGCAAAGTCCTGGGCGCAGCCCCACGAGCCCAGTCGCGCGCCCGGGAGGAAGTGCCCAGCCCGCCCGGCCGCGCACCGACTCTGCGCGGGGTCCCGGGCCTGCGCCGCGGGAAGCAGACCCCCGCAGGGCGCCCGGCTCCCCGCGCCCGACACCGCGCACGCCCCGTCGGCGCTTTGTCCCCCCGCCCGGCGCCGCGGGCCCTTGGAGTCCTCGCCGCGGCTCCCGGGCCGCGCTGCCAGCCCCGGCGCCCCGCGCAGCTGCCAGCCCGGAGGAATTGCTGGCCGGAGAGCCTCGGCCCCCCGCGGGAAGCTCGGCCGGGCAGCCCCGGGCCCCGCCGACCCTCGCTCGGACACCTCGAGAGCCGCCGCCCGCCGCGCACGCAGGCCGCGGGAAGAAGCCGAAGCCCGCGGCGTTCCCGACAGCCTCCGCTCACCCAGAAATTCTCCACGAAATGCGCCATGACCATCGTGTCGCCGCCACCGCCGCCGCCGCCGCCGCCGCGCCGGGTTCCGCGTCCGCACCCGCCCGCCGCTGTGTAAACACGGACCGGGCTCCACCGCGCCCCCGCCTCTCTCGCCGCCGCCGCCGCCTTCTTCCCAGAGACCGTCCGCACCCCTCCAAGGCGCATGCGCCACCTAGCGGCCGCCGCGGGCCGGGCTCCTGGGCGCCGCGCCCCGAATGCGCGTGCGCGCGGCCTGGCGGGGTCCGAGCGTTCGCAGGGAATCGGGCCGAGCGGAGTCGCCCAGGCTGGCGGGAGCGGGGCGGTCGGCAGGCTCGGGGGGCGGAGCGAATAAGGCCCCTCCCACTCTCTCCTCCTCGTGAGTCCAGCGTCCGGCCGGGCCTTCGAGGATCTCCAACAGACCCAGGGCTTGGCAGGCTGGGAGTAAGGAAACTTGGCCGCTGGCCACCCCGAGGAGACTGGGAAACCTTTGGTCAACAGGGAGCCTTTCCTTGACTGGGAAGTAAGATCCAAACAAAACTGTCCAAGGCCGGAAAGGGAGGAAACGCCCAGTGTCGCCTGCAAGACTCAGGCTCTGCTGCGGGTCACAAGGGAGCCAGCCAGCCCCGACCTCCTGCAGAGAACGGGCGTGACCCGAAAGGCGACCCTTCCAGGCCCGCTCACAAGCTCACAAAACCCACGGTAATCTTACCAACTTGTACACTCAGGGAAAAGACACAAGTTTTAACATGCCTCGGCCTAATGGAGAAACTAAATCCCTTTCCATGCCTTACTTTCCAAAAGCTTAAAAAAGCATAGAGATCTCAAGTTCATTAAGCCAGGTCAAAAAGTTTGAAGCCCAGCTCCACAAATAAGTTAGTGTAGTTTTAGTTACAATGTGCACACCACACCTCCCTAAAATCGTTTTTTCAGCCGAGGGGTGGTGGTGCACGCCTTTTATCCCAGCACTTGGGAGGTAGAGGCTGGCGGGTCTCTGAGTTCGAGGCCACTTTCTTCATGGGAAATTATTTTCCTCCCGGAAACTAAAAACCTTGCATTATCTTTCATATGGATGAAATGTAAAAGATAACTAGATAACGGTTATACGTTTATAATCCTTCATAAATATTCACGTAAGGATAAGACATCTGTAATCTGCTCAGTCTTTCATGGGAGTGCGACAAAAGGCTGGGGCACAGATGAAACGAGATTGGCCATGAGTTGATATCTGGGGTTGGATGGTGGGAAAATGCTGGTTTGATATACTACTTTAAAAGATTGATGTGTAAGAGTGTTTTGTCTGCCTGTTATATGTTTACTCCCTGTGTGTGCCTGGTGCCCAGTGAGGCCAGGAGAGGGTGTGGAATCCTCTGGAACTGAAGATACAGTTGTGAGCCACCGCGTGGGTGTTGGAATTGAATCTGAGCCCTCTGCAAGAGCAGTCATGCTCCTAACCACTGAGCCATCTCTGCAAAAAAAAAAAAAAAAATGTTATATGTTAACTCTTCTGTTTCTTTAAAATAAATATTTGCTTCGGTTCTGTAAACCTTCAGTCTTGTTAGATGATCTTTGATGCTGAAGATGTAAGAAAGTCCTACTGAAAGGAGTAAGAAAGTGCACCCTGCAAAAGAGGTTGACATCCAATTCCTAATATTACTAATTACTACCCCCTTAGATGTTAGAAGGGCTCCTGAATTCTAGGTGTTAAATGACCATACATCTGTGTGTGTGTGTATGTGTGTGTGTGTGTGTGTGTTCCTCTTTCTGTATCTCTGTCACCCACACCCACACGTCCTTTCAAAAGGAAACCTACACAGTGACTGTTAATGGGGCTCTAATGTTTAACACTGAACCCTGACCATAAATCTCCCCTCCCATGACCAACACTACTCAGGTCCCAGCAGAACTGTCTTCGCCCCTCTATCCTCCAAAGGGAAACTGCAAACACCCTGAGAGGCAGGGATGGCTGCCCACACCAGCAGCAGGCAGGCAGATCTGAGCAGCTGAAATGCTTTCCAAGCTGAGGTTAACTTGTCAAATCCTTCCTCTCAGCTTGAATGCAGTGGGTTCTTGCATAACAAAAAGTGTTGTTTCCCGGTAGCGTCAAGCGCAGATTTGCCTTCTCTCAAGGTTCTAATTTGTGGTTACAACACAGACTGTTCAGCAGAGTGTTCCCCATAGCTGTAGCTGCTTCACTGGCCACCATTTTGTTCTTAAGGATGTCTGCCGTGAAGGCAAATGCTCCTCGGTGTGTTTCAAGTTCATAGGGGTCATTGTTTTGCAATTACCTGGTATTTAAGTTGTAGAATTTAATAAACAATGATTAAGGTGGCAGAATTTGAGTGCAGATGGCATAATATAAGAAGAATGTGGGTGGCATCAGTCACCTTCTGTGCTTTCAGTGATGTTCCCAGGGATGCAGAGATATTCTAGCAGAGCAGAGTTAAGGCCCCGAGTGTGTAGTATGCCTTAAAGTATTATTGATCTACACACTTAGCTTTTTCTATTCCAAGTAGATTTTGAAATTATTAAAAGCCGACATGTCTAACAATATGCACCTCTTCCTGCCACCTAACCCCAGTCACCTGACAGTTACTCAGTTAATGTTTGGTGACTAAATGGATCATTAAGCCTGTCATAAACACGTCAAGGTGGCTGAGTCCTTGGCTATGCAGTAACTCCATTCTTTTGCACTTGCTCTTTAATTGATGCTAATCCTATAGCTTATAAGAAATATGAAGTTCTGCTTGGTTGAACTTTTCACCTTAGCTTCCAAGCAAATTCTTACAGGCTTGATCATCCTCCTTATTAAGTACCAGTTTTAGTAAAACTAAGTTAAAATTGAAAAAAAGTATTCAAGCTATGCTTTATCAGGAGGTGTCCTTTGGGGAAGGGGCTTGAGCTTTGCGCCCCCATTTTGAGACGTCCTCAGCGGCTTTACCTTCCACTTAAGATTTTTCATTACACCTGCCATGCTGGTTTCTGGGGAGAGGCTGTTGTTCTCCATTAAATTCTTACCCAAGCATAGACATAGCCCAAAGCATTCCTGCCCTGTTAAATCATAACTTAATGAGTGGTAGCAAATGAGAGATGGGAAGATTTACATAAAATAAGTCTACATACTTGGGTTTATAAAATATGGCTGATGTCCAAGTTCAGAGGCCTGACCCATTAGGCAATAGAACACGTCCACTTTTGCATTCCTTGGAATGAATATGACCTTCCCATCCGGCTACAGCTCCAAGCACGTTAGTCAACATTCGGTTGCAAAGTGTATTTCCTTATAATCATGTTGAAAACCAGTTTCATTTCAGAGGAATGGCCATAAAGTAAAGCAACACTTCCCCGTTTGTTCTCTCTGTAATTCTCCTCAATGTGAGTGGCACAGGAAAGGGTCATGTGGACCTGTCCTCGGCTGTTCCCCCACGTGGCAGCGTCCTGGGGCAGGAGCAGGAATCCTTCTCAATATCATACTCAATAGGAACAAGAAGGAAAAGAGCTAAGCCCGCTGCAGGGGAGAAAAAGACAGATCTCCGGGATTTAGAATTCTCTCTCTATGTCTCTCTTTTTTCCTGCTCAAGAACAAGCATATTGAAAGCAAAAGCTTTATGTAAAACAGAAAAAGCAAAGATTTAGCAGATGGTAGCCAGGCAGGCTGCACCGTGACGGCTGATCCAATGGCAGAAGAGAATTAAATGCAGCCCTCTGCAGAGCTGCCTCTGTTCTGAAAATACCTCCAGGCACACTTCTCTCTCCAGGGCACTTGGGACTGGCAGCCATTAGATGCAGCACCTTCCCTCCCTCTGGAATGAGATATTCTCCCCCAAGGGATCCCTCACCTTTCTGCCTGTGGAAGAAGTGTAAAACACTCGACAGGCTCGGATTTACAGTGGCCACAGAGAACCCAACAGAACTTTCACAACTAAGGGGGAAATCAGAGAATCACAAAGGCAATAAAAACCTAAAGACGCCCACAAGTGTCATTCTGTTAGGTGGGCAGGCAGAAGATGGCACGGCAAGCAAATTAAAGTTACAAATACACACAAATATTCACAAAAGGGACAAAAATAAGAATAAGTTAGAAAAATGAAAAACATTTAGACTAATAATTGCTAAATACTTAATTTTAGTTTGATATAATGATGATATCTAAAGTAAAGACTATTCTTGTTCTTTGTTGAGTGTAACTTGGCCTAATGTTCTTTAGTGTCTTTCACTGGCTCGCTCTTTTCCTTCATTTATGTAGGCAGTAGCCAGTTACCCAGCGTTCGTACAATAAGAGAAAGTCACCATGCGATGTGGTGGAGACTGTGGAAGCACTCCACTAAGGTATGTGGAGCAGTGCTTGGCACACAGTGCATGTGTGTTCAGTGAAATGAATGAGCGCATCCTTGTTTCAGCTCTCACAGAACTCAGTCTTTCCGCCCCTTACTGTCTTTCATAAAGGGGTGACAAGCAACTGTCCCCGATTCACTAAGGTTGTCCTCCGTTAGCACAGGACTGGGGATCCGTGAAGAGTGGAAACCACAGTGACTTTCAGGGCTTGCTTCCTAGCTGAGTGAAGAGCTCTAGGACTTACGCTGGAACAACCCGAGCCAGAGGCACCACTGGCTCAACTATGGTGACTTAGATGTCCTTACAGATCCTCTGGAGCCTGGACAGGGAATCTGAGTCTGGCTGGTATGATTTGGATAAGGGTCCTGCCCCATGAGTTCATGTCTGAAGGCTCAGTCTCCAGTATGGTGATGTCAAGACACTTGACCCTTTAAGAAGTGGGCCTAGTGGAAATAATTAGACCATGGGGCACTACCCTTGCAAGGGATTAATGCAGGTCTCATGGGACTGGATTAGTTCATACAAAAAGAGGAATGTTATAAAGGAGCCAGGCAGGCATCTCTGTGACCCCTTCCGCAAATACTGCTTACTGTTCCTTTACGCCCCATCACTGAGGTGCCACATACCAAGACGCCCCATCACTGGGGTGCCATCTACCAGGATGCCCTCACTAATTGGAGCAGCTGCCTGTGCCGCATGCTTCAATTTTCAGTATCTAGAAATCTAAGCTTGACTGGGTGTGAGGCCCGCTCCACAGGAAGAAGTCCGTGCTTGATACTGCAAACCTCAGCAAAAGCCCTCGGCTAGGGAGAGTACAGCCTGGGTGGGAATGGGAGAGAACCCTACCATTGTTTTGCTAAATGAACAAGGTGTCAGCTGTCTTATTTTTATTCCAGTGGACTAGAGCTTCTCTTGGCCTTGATCAGAACTCTGGTTTGTAGTGAGCAATGGATATTGAAGAGATTCCTAACTGGTCAAAGTGCTGAGAACAAGTCACT